CTTCTACAAGGAGTAAACTGACTATGAGACAGTTAGCCTTTCGATTGTAGTATAGATTAAATGAAGGACATACTTTGATGAAATATGGCAGACTATTGCAACAATACATTGTAGATGCATAGATGGCTATTGAAGAGGAAAGGTTTTGTTGGATAAGAAAAAAATGAAAAAAATTAAGAAGTGATTGTATGGCGGATTGATGGATGCTATTTCAAAAGGGGATGTTAATGCAAAGAATATAGGCAAGTGTACATTGCTACCGTCCTCTCACATTGGCAGCCCATGATATCGTATTCAAAATTATCAAGATGCCATGGCAATTTGCAGATATCATGGATATCTTAATTTTTTTTTTTTTAAAATACATTCACATGTAATCCAAAGTGGCTAGAGATACAATATATACAGAATGCTATTGGTCAATGTGATGAAGAAGGAAGAGTAATTGTTGTTTGTAGAGTGTTCGAGATGAAATTGCTTGAACTAATGGAAAAGATAAAGAATGATAAATATTTTGGTGAAATTGTAGCGAGTAAGTTCTGTTATAAGTAATATGTATATTTTCTTTTAAACTATTTGTTCATTTATGATTTATAATATGAATTTTACAATATATCAACAATTACTGACAGTATTCTATCACATTTCCCAGTTATGTATACTATTGAATTCCAGAAAAGAGGTCTCCCACATGCACATGTGCTGATTTTCCTCTACGCTGAATATAAGAATCCTTCGCCATCGAAGATTGATAGGATGATATCTACTGAATTACCAGATAAAGAAAAAGATCCTCTTGCTTATGCAGCTGTTGGAAACTACAATATCTATGGTCCATGTGGAAATTTAAATACAACTTCACCCAGCATGGAGAACGGGAAATGCAAAAAAAAAATTTCCAAACAAATTTGTGAATGCAATAACTATAGATGATGAAGAGTACCCAATATATAGAAGGTGATATACTGGAGCATTTATTGAGAAAAAAAGTGTCAAAATTGACAACCATTTTGTTGTTCCCTATAACAGAAATATGTCAATTAAGTACGATGGTCACATAAACATTGAGATCTGTAACCAACATAGATCAATCAAGTATCTATTCATGTATGTCAACAAAGGACCTGACAGAATCAAAGTTTCTATGGAGGTTGCAAAAAATAATGAAGGGAGTTCTGGATGCGTAAATATTACAGAGGAGGATGAAATTAAAGCTTATGTCGATTGCAAGTATGTATATAGAAGAATAAAATTGTTATTAGTTATAAATATAATATTGAAAAATGCAATTACTACATTTACAAATATATTTCCGCCATGGAGGCTTGCTGGAGAATATATCAATTTGATATGTACTATACAGAACCAATTGTTGAAAGACTTCCTTTCCACTTGGAGAATGAACAAACAGTCGTCTTCGATCCAAATCAGAATTTAGTCAAATATTTGGAGAGTAATGTTGTTACTCAGACAAAATTAACAAAGCAAATGAAATGTAATCAACAATATGAAGAGGCAAGATCATTGACTTATTCTAACTTCCCAACATAATGGGTTTGGAATAACAAAGAAAGAAGATGGAGTCAATAGGAAGGTGGAAGATGCATTGGTAGAATTTACTTTGCATTTCCAGGCAACGATGAAAAATATTATTTGCGGATGTTGTTAAATTTGGTTAGAGGAGCAACATCATTTGAAAATATCAGAACTGTTAATAAAATGATATATCCTACATTCAAAGATGCATGTTATGCTTTAGGCTTGCTGGATGATGACAGAGAATGGAATGATTGCCTGGCTGAAGCATCAATATAGGCTACTGGAACACAGTTACGACAACTATTTGTAACAATTCTTTTATTTAATGAAGTTGTAAACCCAACAGAATTGTGGCAAGCAAATGCAGATTGACTATATGAAGACATCGCATATAATCTTAGAAAAAATAGGAAAGAGGACAATGAGATACAGTATGGAGTAGTTACACAATCATGCATGGACTGAGATTGAAGACTTCATTAAAAAGGAAGGAAAAACAATGGCTGATTTTCATGGATTGCCAATTCCAAATCACGCTAAATTTGAAACTACATAGAATAAGTTGATTGCTGAGGAGTTGAATTATGATATTGACAGCAACAAAATCCTGCACAATGATTTATACAATATACAATGGTCTAAACAATGGACAGAGAGACATTTATAATTCAATTATTGATTCAGTTTATAATGAAAGAAGAACGCGGTTTTTTGTTTATGGGTATGGTGGAATAGACAAAACATTCATATGGTAAACAATAATAGCAAAATTGCGGTTTGAAGGTAAAATTGTTCTCGCTGTTGCAACATCAGGTATTGCTGCCTTGCTGTTACCAGGAGGAAGAACAACCCATTCACGTTTTAGGATACCTTTAGATGTAATTAAAGAAAATATATGTGATATTAAGAAAAGAACGTAATTAGCAAAACTGATTTTGACAACATCTTTGATAATTTGGGATGAAGCACTGATGGCAAATAGGTATTGTTTGAAGCACTTGACAGATCTTTGAGGGACATTTTGTCTGATAAAGATCCATCAAATGCTAATAAAATATTTGGAGGCATAACTATTGCACTTGGTGGAGACTTCAGATAGATTTTACCAGTTACACCAAAGGGGAAAAAAATATTATGTGATGCAAGCATGTTTATCTTCATATCCCCTTTGGGAACATGTCACCTTGTTGAAGATAACATAAAATATGAGATTGAAAAAGAATTTCCAAAGCAATGCAGAATTAGATGAGTTGGCTACTTTTGACAGATGGTTACTACAAATTGGTGAAGGAACAGGAGTATTTGAAGATGAAAGCTTTATAGAAATTCCTGAAGATTTGAAACTTTCTTAACACAGAAATCCAGAAGAAAGAATTGTGAATGCTGTTTTCCCCAATCTATCTGCTAAGATAGGCAATGTTGATTATATTAGAGAGAGGGCAATATTAACAACCAGAAATAATACAACACATGAATTGAATGACTACATTATTCAAAAATTGCAATCAAAATCGAAGATCTATTATAGTTCAGATAGCACTTGCAAAGTTGTAGGGACTTCAAATGATGATGACATTCTATATACAACAAAGTTCCCTAACTCTTTGATGTGCTCTGGTATGCCAAAACATGAATTGTAATTAAAAATTGGAGTTCCAATTATGTTGCTACGAAATCTGAATCAATAAGATTTCCTTTGCAATGGGATGAGATTGATTGTGACTTATCTAGGGAAATGGTGCATACAAGCAACAATTATTACTAGATCAAATATTGGTGATAATGTTATGATTCCTAGAGTAACAATGTCCAATGCAGATATGAAATGACCTTTTAGACTGAAGAGAAGGCAATTACCAATTGCAGTTAGCTTCTGCATGACTATAAACAAAAGTCAAGGTCAATCACTCAAAACGGTGGGATTGTACATAAAACACCAAGTATTTACCCATGGACAATTATATGTTGCCCTATCAAGAGTAACTTCGAGAAAAGGTATCAAGATTTTATTAGTCCAACAACAAGATGAACCAGAAGAAAAGTTGCGAAATATTGTTTTCAAAGAAGTGTTTCACAGTATAGAAAATTAGATATGATACTAATTCTGTAATAATGCAAATTTTCAAATACACAATATTTGTCAAATATCTCACAACACCATTATACTGTTTCATTATTTGGACAAGTAATATTGCATGGTGTACATACATTTTTAGTAGCATTATCATTAGTACAAAATTCATTAGAAGGATTCTGCCCTTTCTTCAACACAAATTTTTCCAAAAATTTAGAGTCTTCATTCGGAAATTTTGACTTGAAAGCAACTACACAAGCTTTTCTGGCAGCCATAAACATGTCTGCCACCAAATCTTCAGCTTCATTCCTCTCTTTCTCAGCTTTGACAACCAAAGATTGGATTTTTCTATTCTCATTACACAATTCATTCAATCTTTTTATCACAACTTCCTTTACTTTTTGTTGACTTTCAATAAATTGTTCAGCAGATTTAAATGCTTCGTGAAGATGTTTCAAGTCATCTTCAACTTTATCTACCCTCTCTTTCAAAACTTTTCTCACTTCCTCTAATGTTTGTTTGTCAGAATTCAGAACTTCGATTTCTTTTTGCAATTTTGAAATAACATTCTTCATTGCCAGCCAACGCTCCCAAGCTTCTTGCCAAAGTTCAAAACCCTATTGCAGAAATACAAGGGAAGAAGATAAAATCTCATTGAGACACGTTTAAAAAAAGTGCAACCTTAACTAACCATTAAATTGTTCTAGAAAAATAATACTTGATTACCAACAAAAGATATCTTATTATCTAATTCTTCCATCGATAGTGAGATATATTTCCTCTCATTCTTTATATTCTCACTCTCTAGCTGAGATGTTTTTTGTCACTTTATAAACCTACATAATGGAACCTCTTCAATTGCATCATCTTTCTCTTCAATAACTTCAACATGACATGAACCAGAAGGGGATACAATAGGATTAGGCACTGATACAGATGAAACAGAACTATGTAATTGATTTATCAACTTCATTGTCGTGGCAATGCTTGGTCCTATATTAGATGTTGATTTGGCCTCGACTCTATCCATAAACTTCAGCAGTTTTTTAGAAGCCATATCTAAAATTTAAAAAAGCACACTTGATGACTTATAATAAAAAGAACAATAGTGTAATACCCCATACTTTTTTGTATGGAGTTTTATTAAATTTTATTTTGTGATTCTAGGGGTAAAGTGTTATAATTTGAAAGTTTTGGGGAGTACAAATTAGCCGAAATAAGTAAGGACTAAATTGAAATTTTTTTGATATTTTGATGAACAGTGACCATTCAATGAAAAGAAAAAGGGGGAAGAAGAAGAAGAAGAAAAAAAAAGAGAGGAAAAGAGAGAAGGAAAAGGAGAGAAAGAAAAGAAAGAAAAGAGAGAAAGAAGAAGAAGATAAGGAGAGGAAGAAGAAAAGAAAGAAGGGAAAGGAAGATGGAACCAATAATAGAGAGACAGGAGAGAAGAGAACGATGGAAGTGGCTGGAAAAGTGGCCGCCGGCGAGCAAATTCCGGTGATTGGAAAGAGCAAAGGGAGATTGAGCAAATGGGAGGTGAGTAAAGCTTGATATTTCCCTTTTTTGGTGATTTATGATTCAATTGATTTAAAGAACTCTCTTTGGATTGTTTTGTCTATGATTTGGTATAAATTCATGAAAACAAAACTAAAATAGGGAGATTGATTTCAATAATTTGGTGTGGGTAGAATATACATGTGTTTCCTAAACAAAATTTGGTTAAAGATGTGATTTTGATAAAAGGGTTTACTGTACAAAAATCTGACCATTTGGAATTCCGAAAATTGTTTGTATGTTTTGGTTTTTCATTTGAAGCTTAATTTCGAATATGCTGTTGTAGACTTCGTGAGGAGTATTTAGAAATTTATTTCACTCAAAAACTCGAAGGATTGAATTTTATATGGATTTTCGAAGTTGCCTTGCGAATTCTGGAATTTTCATTTTCTACAGAACATGTATTTTTGAAAAATAATTTGATGCATCTATTCTTATCCAAGTTGAGTTATTTTAAATTCTGGTGAATCCTATATGTGTCTATTTTAATTCTGGAGAGTTTCATGAGGTTTGGATTAAGGGCTGAATTGTTATGAATTTTTCAAGTCAGTAACCTCAATTCTGGAAAGAGGGGACAGATTTGAATGAGTTGAAAGAAATTGTGTTTTAAATAGTTATTGATCCGGCATGACTTGATAAAATTATGAGAACAACTTATGTGTCTCTAGAATACCTGGTTAAAATTATGGCTTAAAATGATGAATATAATTTTTAAGAAAAATCCGAGAGCAACCAATGTTCGATTATGAGGCAGTTTTGTTAAAGAAGAAGTTATGTTCATCTTTTGGTGTGTGAAGTGTCCAATGATTTTAATATTGAGGTGTTACCTTATGGGGACTTATGTATGGAGGATTTATTGGATTTTGTATATAGGGGGCCAAGCAGGGGCATTATTAGAAGATTTCAATCATTTTTCGGCTTAAGGGTCGAGCTTTAAACTGTGAGTGGAAAAATCTAAATTCCTAACTTTCTTTTTAACATAGTTATCTCTAAATGCTCTTTTATACTTGTTGATTGTTTTAAATTGCCTAATATGTTTGATTTATTTATATAAATGAGCTTTATTGCAATGTTATTGTTGGAAATTGTTGATTGACATGAGAAAGATGGAATTTTGATTTTTTGTGGCAATAGTTCGAAAAGAAATGAAAATGGGTTGAAATTAATTGTTAGATTTGAAAACATTTGAGAACCTGCATTTATATTTTTAAGTTGTGAAATTATTATGTGCTCATGGGAAAAATGTTTTGAGAATAAGTATAAGATGATAGTGAGTTTCAAACTACCCTACATAGTACCCATCCCCCTCATAATGTTGATTTGATTATACACATGCGTATGATATGATATTGCCAGCCTAAGTGGGTCAAAGGCCTGAGCGAGGCAAATATCGCTTCACATGATTGATATTGTTGGCCTAAGTGGGTCGAAGGCCTGAGCGAGGCAGATCTCGCTACATTGGATGGATTTTGCCGGCCTAAGTGGGTCGAAGGCCTGAGCGAGACAGATATCGTTACACAGGATATGATTTTGCCGGCCCGAGTGATGCTTGAACTCATTGGGTCGAAGGCTTGAGTGGTGTCCGATTCCGCCTAGCAGGATGGATTTAGTGGTTCAATCCGCGTGATGTTAGATCTGTCGGGTTGGATGGATTTACCCTTGGGTACTAGTTGGGTGAGAGTTTTCACATGTGATTGAGAGATGGTTTGAATATGTATAAATATGTATATCATTTATTTGAAAATGGGAACTTTTCAATGTTAATGTTATCCGTATATGAATTGTTTCTTAGAAATTATATTTTTAGAAAAACATGAGTATTGATTCATTTACCATAATAGTGTTCAGAAAGAAGTCTTGCCATGAGAGATTTCAACATATGTTATGAAAGATGGCTTATATAAAATAAGTTTATGGAAATGAAATTTTATAAGCATGAGTGTTTTTATTGTATATTGAAATGTTTTATTACATACTAACCTATTCCCCACTCACTGAGCATTCTAGCTCACCCCTCATTTTCAAATGTTTTTCTTTCCCCCCACAAGGTCAAGAAGGAGATCATGCAGAGGAGTGAATCCCACTCAAGGTTGGGCCACACGACTTTATTTCATCATATATTCTATAGTTGTGTTTTATTTTCCGCTGCAAAGTTTATGTTTTCTTCATCATGTATTTATTTCTTGTTTTGGATTATTAAAGATATGGAAAAAAAAATCTGATACCATACATTTTATTTTGTGAAAATTTCAGTTATATTTGTTTATTTACAAATGACGTTACATCTATTCGTGAGAAAAAAAGAAAGAGTGCTTATAAATGTTTTGGCTAGAAGAGTTTTATGATGTTTTTAATTCATAAACAGGTTTTATAGTTTTCCCACATGGCACGTCTCCATTACCCGAGTCTCATGGGTGCGTCCGGAGCCTATGGGATAAAGAGGGTCGGGACGAGTCATGTCAAATGGAATCATTAGTCAACCTGAAAAAACAATATTTCCAAACTACTTAAAATCGACAGCAAAGAAAAATAATAGTATAAAAATTTATTCGTACCTTTTAAAAAAATTGCATTAACAAATACTACAACAAACGAACAAGACAAATTTCAGACAATCATGAGTTACAAACCATTTAAATGTGGAAATTCATTACTAATTTTGATTTGGATATTCTATTATACATATTGTGTGTAAATGCATATCCAAATAAACAAAAATAAATAAATTTTAACGTTGTAAAGTTTTGCAAACTGATAGGATTTTTGATGAAATTGTTCAACGTTATCAATTTGCTTGAAATTACAGTAACAAATCTGGTGCGATGGAAACAAAAATAGATATTATAGGGTTAGAGAGTTTGGATCAGGTTGAAAAAAATACTCTTAAGCAATAAAATGTCCTTAAAAGTAATAAACATATTGAAAGACAACATTTAAACAACATGTAAATTTTATCAATCTAAATGACGTAGCACATCAAAATAAAATAAACATGACTACGACTAATCAAATATAATAATAAGTGAAAAAATATAATATCTTATGAAAATGTTGTCCCATTTTCTTTTCATCTTTCATTACAATAAAATTATATTCAAATTTGAATAAAAATTTAGTGATTTGAAACAAACATTATTTTTATAATAAATAAAAATATTGATTATAATTTAAATATAAATTGTTAACATTTATTTGGTTTTAAATTTGATATAATCTCAATGGCCATTGTCTTTCACAATTTCCAAACAGTTTTTGCACATTCTTCATCGACCAATTTATATATTATGACACATTCGTTTGTTTTCTAATTGTTCGGTTTCTATATACATTCAAATGATACTTTTATGCTTATATATATAACACTAACGATTACTAAAACTGCATCTATATCATTATATAAATTTTTATTATAGTTTAAATATCTGCTCAAGCTTTATTCATGTTTTTTAAAATGGCGGATAAATCAAGAAGAAAGCAAACGAAAATATTTCAAGTTTCTCAACAAAAAAATAAAAAGGTAAGAAATAAATTTGTTTGCATTGATAATGTTTCTCTGAATTAAATTACAAAGAATTTTTTATTTCTAATATTTTGTAAATTAATACAATTCCATGAATTTCTTTTTTTGTCAGTTGGTTCGCTGATGAATAAAAAGGACGAATCAAAAAACTTGAAGCAACTTCTGCACAAAGTCCAAATCTGGATGATTTATATGTGGCAAGAATCGATAATAAAAGATGTTACCAATAAAATGGGTAACATCATGGATTCTTGCATGGGCATTGTCTCTGATCTAAATAAATGGCAGAGGTTGGTTGTCGAAGAGGAATTGAAAGTTTTTAAATAGAAAGTTTAAGATCTTTCCTCTACATCATCCAAACATACCTGATAGTAAAAAATGATGATGTAATCATGTTTACAATACATATATAATAAATAAAATTCTTTTTCAATTGTCTCATTGTCAAATGTTTAACTGATTAAAAAGTTTATTATAGCATGTTCTAAATAATTTTTGTTAGATACAATATCAAACGTTAAAATACTATAATAAAAGCAATTGATATTGTTTATCAATGATAGTAACTAATAAAAAAACATAATGAGCAATGTTTAATTATATCAAACAATTAATCAAGCAATAACATGAAGAGATGAATGACAAGAAGGGAAAATAGACAACAGTTAAATGTAACTCATTTTTAAATTTTAAGTGTTGTAAACTTTATTGGTTATATATATATATATATAACTCATTTGCAGCAATATTCAACTGTTGGCGAACAATTTTGAATTCATAACTGGACTTGCAAACCCATTGACAACAGTTATTAATCAGTTTTCTAAACGTGTTCGAATTTATACATTTAATATATTAATTATATACATGTTTTATTGCATATTGTTCGAACATTTACTTTCATCTACTTCCATAACTGTGGTTTGGCGAACCATTGTCTTGTTCTCAAATATTTTAGATGTGTTTAATTCCATAACATACACAAAAATACAAACCATTTAAATTTAAAGTAAATATATATATATATATATATATATATAAACATAACAATATCAATATGTTTTTGTATTATTTTAAAATTTTAATATGTCTGTGTTTATTTTTTAATAGAAATTTATTAATATTCTGACTTTTACACTCCACATTATACGAAGAGTCATTTAAATAATTTTTAATAACTAATGTCTTTATTTATGAATAGATACCTGTTGGGTTCCCAACTGTTCATATTCTATTCTCATTTAAAACATCTTCTCATGTTAATATCTATATAAGGATAACTAAATTGGTATTTGTTTTGCCTTTACAAAATACTTGATTTATTTTCTCTGTTTATCTCAATATGGCTGATAGATCATCAAATCCAAAGAACTATGCAGACGGTAACAAACATCTAAACCATTCTAATATTTTCATTTTTATATAGAAACTCTGTATCTCTATATATATATTTTTTAAATTAACAATATTTGATTATTATACTTAATAGATGAACCCGCTTCAATCCACAAATGGGTTGACTTGAAAGATATTCTTCACAATATCAAAATCAACATGGAGAAACTAAACGCTACAAGACAAAAATTGAAACAAACAATTGATGGACTGTTAGAAATCATGTAGTCAACCATCAGTGTCATTTCTGATCTAACTAAGAGGGAGCTTAGGATTGCTGCAAAGGAAAGAGAACTCGGAATTCATCAGCAGCAGAAATGAAAAAATCTCATGTACACAATCTTTTGATGTTTACAATACAATTAATAAAAAAAATATAAATATATTCCATCAAAAAATACAATAGCAACATTCCAAATTTGCAAAAATACTTAAAACAACAAACTAACACAAATAACTCATTATTTGTAAATATTATAAATACAAGTGTAACAATTTTAGTGTATAATAACCTACATGCTGAACAATAATTTAACAACAGCGTTTATATTAAAAAAACCTTTAATATTGAGTAATTACACCTCTTATATCATAAACATTATTTTATTATGCAAATTATCAAATTGCAAAATAATCAAAAAATTCTAATAGAATATTATACATCGACATTACAATTATGTATTCAACAAACAAGTTGAACAAACTGATCAATTTATTAAATAAAATTACAACTTGCCATTATCAATGGTATATGTCAAACAATTTTAATAAAAAAATACTCCTACCATTTCAATTACAGAACAACTATACCAACGTTTTGTCGAACAATTGTATCATGTATTTTGAATATTTACAACGAATCTTCTAAAGACCAATACTTATTACATACTGTTTTGGTAACATACCTATATCAAGATATGTTGCTAATTGTTATGCCCGGGAAAACAAAGGGCTGACGTGGGAAAGTCACGTGAAGGGTGACCTGCTCCTGTCAGAGCAACACGCACACGTCAGACCTGCTAAATGATATGGAGCTCACACGCGTCCATTTCCCTGCCATAAGTCGTGCGAAGTCAGCTTGGGAAAGGGAAAATGGGGCATAAAGCCGGATTATATCCTGACAATCACACCAAACCATGGATTCAATGATGATTACACGCTTCAGTTTGATATAAAATGAAGAAGACCCCTTCNTTCTAGTTCTCACTGTTCTTTTCTTTCTTTCTATTCTTTCTTTCAACAGCTATGAGGAAATATCATAATAACATGCATGGATGAGATGCCTATGCACTAAAGCATAGCAATGCGTTTTCTCTCTTTTCTTTTCTTTTTATTCTTTTCTTATTCCTATTCTTATTCTTATTCTTTGTCGATCGGTCTCGGTTGATGCATGGATTCGGAACCCTTAGTCATGTGAGTGTACTCTCTCTAGTGTATAGCCCTCACCCACATGTATTCTCATGGCTATACGAATTCTTTTTCTCATTCTCATTCCGCTCTCTCATGGCGGAGACCACTCTCTCATGGCGGTTACATGCAGTTAATTTCTACACTCACGGGCTCCCCATCACACAACCTATTCTCTTTTCTCTTCTTTAGTACTTTTCTAGTGCTAACTCTTTCTTTCTTTTATTCTAAGAGAATTAGTTCTTTTCTTTATCTCTATTCTTAGAGTATTTCTTTCTCATTTCTCATATTTCTTTCTTTCATGATTACTCAAATAAACATATGCATATGGATGGTTTATGCTTAGAATCTTTCTTATATGCACTCATGAAATGTAAATATGCTATGTTGCATAAAGTAAGGTTCTCTATTTCTACTCATGCTTCTCTTAGGCATTTCCTCAAACAATATGTGTGCATACAAAAACTCTACTCTTATTATAATTCTACTTCTTTCTTAACCATCCAAAATTGGAGTTCAACTCCTTTAACTCATCACACATCCTGCAAAGAAAACACACTTCAAATATTCCTCACAAAATTCTTTCAATTCTATCCATACTTCTACCAACTTTTATCAACACAATCCACCATTTTCATGGTGGAATTCTCTTCATAAATCAACAATAAACTCATTCATCAATACATTTCAAACATAAAAATTCAATCAATTAATCATATAGAAATCTCTATACATCATTCAATCATGCAAATCACACTTAGGTGGATTTACTTACCTTAAACACAAGTAGAATCCACTTAAGCTCTCCACTCTTGATG